ACGGACGAGGAGGCGGATGAGGAGGAAGCAGGAGAGGGAAAGGAAGCTGGTCAGGAAGACTAGGAGAAGGATCAGGAGGATGCGGACGAGGAGCAGTAGCATGACAAGCAAGCTGAAGCGAAAAGGACCACAAGGATGATGAGGAAGAGGAATTCGGGGAGCTCGCCGAAACAGGAGGCTGCAATGGCAAGCGAAGGCAGAGGAGACTACTGAGGAAGAGCAGGAGGAAAAGGCTGATGACGCGTACACGGAGAGTCAGGAAGGGAGTGTTGCGTGGAAGGGCGGGCGTGGAAAGCAGGGGGACTGGTGGACACGAGCAGGAGGAGAGAGATGGAGAGGATGGGTGAGCAGGAAGACAGATGGGCAAATTTTCCACCACCACTACCACATGTAGGACGGGGGAGAAGGGAGGATGAGGAGGTCCTCCTCCTCCCCCTGCTCCTCCTTCTCCTCCTCCTCCTCCTCCTCCTCCTCCTCCTCCTCCTCCTCCTGCTCCTCCTCCCTCTCCTACCCATGGTACTGGTGGTGGAAAATGGGCCCATCAAAGAGGGGGGGGGCAGAGTCCGAGATGCGCGATCCTAGGACGAGGTGCACGAGGAAGGACGAGGAGGTCGATCACCAGAATTGCGCTCTACAGCCAGTCGTCGTGGGGCACCGGGAGGTACGGAGCCGGCTCGGCGTCACGCGGCCAGCGCCGTCCTGAGAGAGAAGGACGCGGGTCCCGAGAGAAACGGGTCCGGGACCTGGAGGGGTCTCCTGAGTGGCAACGATCGGGGGGGACTGGCATAGGGGGGATACATCGACTTGGAATCGGCGATGGGGCAACGATAGGGGGTGACCAGGCCTCCGGTAGAATCCGTACCCTCCTGGGCAGGTTGGGGCTATCGGGCCCCTGTCGGCGATCAATGGGCGATTCGCGGTCGATGCACCCCCCCTATGCTTAGGTCGGGCATGTCCTCCTACAGGGGAATTTTGGACGAAAAATAAAAAGTAACCAACAAGTATTCAAACATGGCCAAGAAAAATAGAACATCGTCACAAGAATACTATTGTTTTACAATTTAAGAATCTTCTTCCTGCAGAGGGACACGCCCGACCTAATCCTATGCCTATAGCGCCCCCTATCGTTGCCCCCGAGCGCTCCCCCAAGGACTATATAATCGTTTTCGAGGCGGCCCCGGTGCCCGTGGAGGACGACCCGGGAGCCCGAAAAAGCGGGGACAAGAACTCCAGACTGCGCGGTTTCCCCCGGGGCCGTAGACGACCCGAGGAGGAGGAGGAGGAGGAGCAGAAGGATGAGAAGGAGGAGAAGGAGGAGGAGGAGCAGGAGGAAGAGGAGGAGGAGGAGGAGGAGGAGAGGAGGAGGAGGAGGAGGAGGAGGAAGTGGTGGAGGGGGAGGTATGGAAGGGACGGAGAGAGAGGAAGGATACGGAGAGGAGGCGAGGAGGAGGAGGAGGAGGGAGGAGGAGAGGAGGACGGAGAAGGAGGAGGCGGAGGAGGAGGTAGAGGAGGAGGAGGAGGGAAGGATGGTGGGAGGAGGAGGAGGAGGGAGAGGAGGGAGGAGGAGGAGAGGAGAAGGAGGGGGAGGAGGAGGAGGGAGGTGGAGGTAGGAGGAGGAGGAGGAGGAGGAGGAGGTGGAGGGGAGATGAGGAGGAGGAGGAGGAGGAGGAGGAGGAGGAGGAGCAGGAGGAGGAGGAGGACGAGGAGGAGGAGGAGCAGGAGCAGGAGGACGAGGAGGAGGAGCAGGAGGAGGAGGAGGAGCAGGAGGAGGAGGAGGAGGAGGAGGAGGAGGAGGAGGAGGAGGAGGAGGAGGACGCGTCGCCCAAGCCCTTCGGAGAAACCCTCCGCTCCAGACCCGCTCCCAGACACCCGACGAGGTGTGGCTCAGCCCGCGGCCCTAGACCCCCCTCGAGCAATTTTAGACAAGCGCGCTCCACTACTCGCAGGAACCCCAGACTACAGGAAGCTGGACTACAGGAACCCTCGAAACCACTAGCCCCCCCCTCAAACAGGAACCCTCCCCAAACTACAAAGGCCCCCCTCCGGACTACAACGCCCCCCCCCCCCGGACTACTAAGGCCCCTCCCCCGGACTGACTACAGGAACCCCCCCGGACTACAGGGCCACCCCTCCCGGACTACAGGGGCTCCCCCCCGGACTATTGGTCACCCAAGAATTATTCAGGCACCCAGAATACTCGCAAATGGCCTGGATCAAACCCAGGGGATTTACTATTTTTTAGACAGAAAGGCAGACGTATTGTTTTTCGGACGTTTGCGAGTACTTTGGCACTCTGCGAGTAGTGGAACGCGCTCGGCGAGCAATGACAAACTCATGACGGGAAGTTTCTCACCATTTCCGGCCTCGGGGGGCGATTGCCGGGCCTCGAGGCCGTCAACAAAAACGACCTCCGGGACGAAAAACCGGTCTCGGGGAACGGGTCGAGACCCCTGTGGGGGGCCGACGCCATGAAAAAATCATGACCTCGGGGGGTCTGGGCTCCCAGAAATCCGACGAGGTATGTGGTTCGATCCGCGGCCCTCAGCTCCCGACCCCTCCCCAGGCCCAGGGGGCATGCCGCCCTTACTGATGGCCCCGCGGGGCCCCTCGATGGGCCGAGAACTCGCAGAAAAGCTGCTGTGCAGGAAACAGCAGGTGGTCTGAGAGCTGGGCTTCCCTCAGGCCCTCGGCGAACAGCAAACCACCACTCCCGGACCTCTCCCGGGGCGCATTCTGACCAGGGCGCGCATCCTGACAAGCATCTCGAGTAGAATCTTGGCGTGGCCTCCAATGCCCTCCAAGACGAGCAGCGGTCTACCGGAAGCTCCCGCGAGATCTGGCGTCTCGGGAGAAAATCCAGCGCCGTGGGAAGTCACGACCAGAGCGGCCTCAGCTTCCTGATGATTTTTTCATAACGTCGACCTCCCGAGGTCTGAACCTATTCCCCAGGACCGGTTTCTCGTCCCGAAAGTCGTTTTCTGACGGTCCCGAGGCTCGGCATAAGGGCCCCAGATGCCGAAACTGGCGAAAAAAACGCCATGATTTTTGTCATTGATCGAGGGGGTCTGGGTACGTCTCCCCGAAAGCGGGAGAGAGGTCTCCGGCGGCCCCGTCTTGTCGGCTCGTCGGTCCGCAGCCTCCGCGGGCCCCAGGGTGAAGTCGGGCCCTTCTCTCTACGGGAGGAGTATTCCAATATAGTCAAAAAATGATCATGACTTTCTCATTGCTCATTTTTCATTGCTCGACGGGGTCTGGGCGCAGCACCTCTCGAGCCAGATCGAGCCGTGATGGCCCCGGGAGGGCCCGCGGAAGAGAGACGCCGCGTGCCCAGCAGGCACGCGTGATCAGTACAGCAATACTACGCACCGCGGAGGGGCCGAGCGCCCGCAGGCGTGCGGGGTGGGAGGCAGCACGAAGCCGCTGCCTCGAGTTAATCATGCTGCTCCCATCGCACTTAACGACCACATCCCAGAAATAATCTCGAGCACCCGGAAGGGTGTCGAAAGGGTGTCGAAATAGTGTCGAAACAGTGTCGGACGAATGTCTCCCAGGGCCCGACACGTGAAAAACCTTGAGTGTTTTATGCTTTTTTGGCGCTCGAAATTCCTCGAGATGGGGCAAGGCGGAGGGAGGCGAGGAGCAAAGAGGAGCAGGCAAAAGCAGGCAGGCATCGGCGACTCCAGAGGGTGTGGTTTGCAAAGGGTGTGGTCTGCAACCGGCACCCAGAGCAACATCCTGGGGGGCACCCGGTGGGGGGGCGCGCGGGGACCTCGATAGAGTCTCCCGCGCCCCGAGGAGGCCCGACGAGGACAGCATGTCGTGCCTTCCAGGCCCCAACGGTGCCGATCGCAAACCACACCCCGGCGTAACCACACCCTTTGCACGTGGTCGCCGAACGGAGGGACCCAGATCCCCGACGTCGTGAATGTTTTTTTTTGTTGCAGAGGTCTGGACGGTCTTCCCCGGGGGCCGAGTCGCTCCTCCACGGGACCCCGAGGCCCGGGAAGAGCCCCCGGAGGCCGACGGCTATAGCGAAGAGCCTCCCCCGTCGTGCGGTTTGCACCGCGCGAGGGGGTCCGGCGGGGAGGGGGGGGAACGCCCGGTGTGGAAGGCACTGCGACGCTGGGACCCTCCTCCATAGGGATCGTCGGAGCCCTGGGCGTCCCTCAACGGCCCACGTGCGACTTCCCAGGCCCCTGCAAACGGGACGTTCATCAACGAAGCGGTGGCCAGGGGTGCGTTTTCAATTGTGCTTTCAACAAACTGCTTTGCCGCGCGCATGTGCGAGGTAGACCCCCCCGCCCAGAGGTACGATGATGTACCGACGTCTTCGCCCCGTCCCAATGTATCACGCACTATAGTGCGAGGTCAATGCCCTGTCGCCCCGTCCTCGCTTGGAGACGCCCCTCAGCTACCGCCCCGTTTAATAGCGCCCCGTTTGCAGGGGTTTGGCATACGTCGGGCATGTCCCTCTACAGGAGGAATAACCATTCGAGAACGATCAAGAAATCATATGGAGACGATGTTTCGTGCGCGTTTTTTCGTGTGATTGCCATGTTTGCCTGCACATGTTCGACTGTTCGTTCTTCATCCTGAGTGTGCTGTGCATTCTCCTGCCTGCTTTTGTCAACCCTGTGTGTGTGTGCGCGTGTGTGTCGACCGTGTTTTGTCTAAACTCTCTTCGCAAGCTCTGCCTGCCTGTGCCAATGGGCTGCTCTTTCGTTCTCCTGCACACTCCGCCTCTGGGGGCGGGCGGGCGGGCGAAGAGGAGGAGGAGGAGGAGGAGGAGGAAGAGGAGGAGGAGGAGGAGGAGGAGGAGGAGGTGGAGGAGGAGGAGGAGGAGGAGGGGGAGGAGGAGGGAGGAGGGAGGAGGAGGTGAGGGGAGGAGGGGGAGGAGGAGGGAGGAGGGAGGAGGGAGGAGGAGGAGGAGGGGGAGGAGACCTCGGGCTTCGCCGCCGCGCGGCCTCGGCGCGCCGCCGGGGGCCGCGCCGCGCCGGCGCCCGCAGGCGCGCCGCGAGCGGCCGCAGGGCCAGCGGGGCGGCGAGCACGGCGGCCGCCGCGGCGCACAGGAGGCCCGGGGCGGGCAGGAGCGGGCGCCGCTCGCCTCGGGGCCGGGGGCAGGGGGGAGGAGGAGGAGGAGGACGAGGAGGAGGAGGGAGAGAGGAGGAGGAGGAGGAGGAGGAGGAGGAGGAAAAGGAGGAGGAGGAGGAGGAGGAGGAGGAGGAGGAGGAGGAGGAGGAGGAGGAGGAGGGAGCATTCAGGAGAGATGGAAACTCGTGGAGGTCCTGGAAATCCTGGCACGCATCATGATCATGGCATCTTGCTCCTCTGACTCTCCTCGGGGGGGCGGGGGGCCCGAGGCCCCGCGAGCAGGGGCAGAGCTCCTGTCGGCGGGAGGCTCTCTGCGCCACTGTCGGCCTCGGGGGGGCCTTCTATGTACACCGGGCCTCGGGGCCGGCGAAGCAACAGATATAGGTCAGGCCGAGGAGCCGGTCCTGGGGAATGGCTTCAGACCTCGGGGGGTCGACGCGCAATGAAAAAATCACGACGCCGGGGGTCTGGGGGGGAGACAGCGGGGGAGCAGGGGAACGAAGAGTGGGCACAAACATAACAACTCGAAGGTCCGCGGGGGGTTCGTGGATCCACGCTGGGCCCCCCTCCCTGGGGCGGGGGGGGGAGACATCGGGGGGGCAGGGGAACGAAGAATGGCATGAGCATCAAAGCTCGGAGGTCCGCGCGGGTTTCGTGTATCCGCGCTGGGGCCCCCCTCCCTGCATCCGCGCCGGAAGTGCCAGGGATGGGTCCAGCGCAGGTCCACGAGATCCGCGCGGGCCTCCGAGTTTTTATGTTTATGTCATTCTTCGTTCCCCTGGGGAGCCAGACCTCTTCGCGCTGTGATAGAAAAAACACCTTGGAGCCTATCTTTTTTTAAAGACTCTGGCAAGTTTCCTTGCATCGGGGGGCTGAACCTGAAGCAGGCCGCAAGCGACTTGACATGCGGAAATCACGCAAGTCGAAAGGCACTTGCACGCTCGTGTGCGATCTTCGATCGAAGAAGGGCGAGGGGGGGGGGGGGGCGAACGCCGTGCCAGTAAGCTTGCCAGAATCTCTACAGGAAAAAACAAGCTCTTGTTGGCGGTGAGACAGCGGGGGAGTCAGAGCTCCTCGCGCTGTGACAGAAATGACGGCGGGAAATGCTCGTTGCTATTTTCGGCCTCCGGGGGCCCTCCCTGGGCATCGGGACTATAAAACGACGACTCGGGAGGAAGAACCGGTCCCCAGGGAAGAAGTCGAAACCTCGATCGACGCTGTGAAACATTCCCGACGTCGGGGGTCTGGGGAGCAAGGAGCGGGGGAGCCCTCCCTCCTCCCCTTCCTGCGCCCTAGCTTCCTCCCCAGACCCCCGACGTTATGATTTCTTTATGACGTCGACCCCCAGAGGTTTCGACCTATTCCCGGGGACCGGTTTTTCATCCTGAGTCGTTTTTTGACGGTCCCGAGGCCCGGCAAGGGCCCCAAGGGGCCGAAACTTGCGGAAAACCGCCCGTCGTGATTTTTGTCACTGCTCGAGGGGGGCTCCCTGACTCCGGATCCGCCCTACTTTGGGGAAATTCGTAAGTGGGGCTTGGAATTTCCGCCTTACTTTTCAAGCCCCGCTGATGCCAATTTCCGCCCTACTTTTCTGTTGCTGTTTCTGTGGATTTCCGCCCTATTTTATGTTGGGTGCAGCAATTTCCGCCCTACTTCTTCGGCCTCTTCTAGGTGGATTTCCGACGAAATTTTAGTTGGAAAAAAGCCAAAGTAGGGCGGATCTGGAGTCAGGGATGGATCCCGATGCCGGCTGGCCGCTCTCCCGCCGGGCCGCCGCCGTGCAGTCCGGGAGGCGCCGCCCGCCTCTTCGGCCCCTCTGCCCACGCGGTGGAACGCAAAAGGGCCTGTGGCGCGAGGGTCGCGGCGGCCACTCGCGGAGCGGGGCGATTGCCCCTCGAGGCCGAACATTGCGATAAACCTGCGTCTTGATTTTTGTCAATGCGCTGGACCTCTGGGCTTCCTTCGTGGCGAAGGAGGCAGGAGGGCGTCCAAAAAAAAACCCGCGGGCCTCGGCCGGCCCCCATCGCACCCTCCAGCTGCCCGCCCGCGAGAGTGAGGAGCCCCTCTCCCTCCTCCTCGTCGTCCTCCTCCTCGTAGTCCTCCTCCTCCTCCTCCTCCTCCTCCTCCTCCTCCTCCTCCTCCTCCTCCTCCTCCTCCTCCTCCTCCTCCTCCTCCTCCTCCTCCTCCTTCCCCCCAACAGAATGCCCCCCCATGCCCTCAAGGGCGGCTCGAGGCGCTGAGGGCGTGTTTCGCTCCGTTGGCCAGTGACGGGCGCCGTCTAATAATTCAGTGGGGGCTCGACCACGGGAAACCTTCCACAAGAAACCCAACCCTGAGACCCCAGGACGCCCACTGGCTTTCGGTGTGGGAACGTCACGCCTTCCACAGCAAAACCATCGAAACCCAGGAAACCCAGGGCACCCTGGAGGCAAGCAGGGTGTTCCTTAGCATGGGTCTCCACTGTACTAGTTGTGGGCGCTTCTCTTGTTTCCTTTGCAGGCCCAAGCTCGGCTCCACCTGCCCGTCTCCTTTCCGATGTCATTGCGTTCTCGTTGGAGAAATAACCCTTAGATAAGGAATCGATGGTCTTCCTGGAAGCCAGTGGAACTCCAATCGTGGATTGGCCATGGATGCCACCGCCACCCCCATCAGATAAGGAAACCACCAGGGTCTGCAGCCTCCCGGGCCACTCCTTAACCAGAGCCTCCACCGTACCACCTGTGCCCACAAAGGATAAGGGCGCACAGGGGGCCCGGACAAACACGCGGCTGGATCCACATGTGGCACGCGAGGCCGACCCCAGACTCCCATCGAGGAGGAGGTGGGGGAGGAGGAGGAGGAGGAGGAGGAGGAGGAGGAGGAGGAGGAGAAGGAGGAGGAGGAGGAGGAAGGAGAGGAGAGAGGGGGAGGAAAGTGGAGGAGGGAGGAGGAGGAGGGGAGGAGGAGGAGGAGGAGGAGGAGGAGGACGGAGGAGAGGAGGAGGAGGAGGAGGGGGACGGAGAGAGAGGGGGGAGGGGGAGGGGGAGGGGTGGAGGAGGAGGAGGCGGTGGAGGAGGAGGAGGAGGAGAGTGAGGAGGGGAGGAGGAGGGGAGGGGGAGGGGTTGGGAGAGGTGGAGGAGGAGGAGGAGGATGTGGGGGAGGAAGAGGAGGAGGCGGATGAGGAGGAGGAGGAGGAGGAGGAGGAGGAGGGGGAGGAGGAGGAGGGGTAGGAGGAGGGAGAGGAGGGGGAGGGTGGAGGGAGAGGAGGGGAGGGGGGAGGCGGGGGTCTCGGGAGAAAGGGGAAAGCGGGGAGGGGGACGGGGAGGAGGAGGAGGAGGTAGAGGAGGTAGGAGGAGGAGGAGGTGGAGGAGGTAGGAGGAGGAGGAGGAGGAGGAGGAGGAGGTGGAGGAGGAGGGGGAGGGGGAGGAGGACGAGGAGGAGGAATGACCTCGGGACCGACAAAAAAACGACTCGGGAGGAAGGACCAGCCCCAATAGGTCGAGACTTCGGGGGGTCGACGTAACGAAAAAATCAGGACGCCCGAGGTATGGGATTCCAGACACCCTGGCTCCCCGTATATCTCTATAGGGCGACGATTTGCACTTCTGCTGGCTGGCGGAGCCGCCCCCGTTTTGCTTCCGCCTGCTTCCGCCCAGTACAGAAAAACTCAGTTGTTTGCACTTCTGCCGGCTGGCGGAGCCGCCCCCGTTTTGCTTCCGCCTGCTTCCGCCCAGTACAGAAAAACTCAGTTGTTCTGCTCTGGGGAAGGGGTGGCGCTTTGGGGCGACCTCCGCGGGGTGGCCTGGGGTCCTCGCAGGCGAGAGTATGCCGTGATGTGTCGAGGGCGCCTCGAGCGAAACGCTCGCTCGGCAGGACTAGTTTTTAGGACGTCTGGATCGCCCCCTGCTGGAGAGCGCCACGGGTGGCGAGCGCCCCGGCTTTAGGTCGGGCGTGTCCTCCTACAGGTGGATTTTGGACGGAAAATCAAACACAGCCCAAAATATTCGATTATATACAAAACTTGTTAAAACATCGTCCCCGGACTATCTTTAAAACTATTTGTGTACTTTCCCCCTGTAGAGAGACGTGCCCGATTGAAGCCCAGCCGCTCTCTGCTGGCGGGCGCCGGGTGTGGAGGCCCCGGGCAGGAGGCCCTGGGCGTGTGACGTGCGAAAGGCCGGCGTGGCTGGCCTCTGTTCGGCACCGCCCTTGCGCGGCGTCAGCGTTGAACCGTTGGTTTTTGTGGTGCGCTTGTTTTCCACCGCCACCACCATAAGTAGGAGTGGGAAGGGGGTCCTCCTCCTCCTCCTCCTCCTCCTCCTCCTCTACTTCCTCCTCCTCCTCCTCCTCCACCTCGTTCCCCCCTCCAACCTATGGTGGTGGTGGTGGAAAACAGGCCCATCATTTTGTGGAGCCATCCGTGTTGCCAGAGTGTCCCGCTGCAGGGGTCGTTCGGCCGTTCACGCCAGGGCGCCCAGCTCGGCAAATGAAAACGCTCGGGCACACAAAAACCGATCATGTTGGCCGCATGGTAGGGCAGAGCGCGCTGGAGAAACATCTGGCCTTCGGTCGGGCATGTCCTCCTACAGGCGGATTTTGGAAGAACAATGAAGAATAGCCAAACATATTCAAAACTTGTCAAACAAGTGATGGAGAAATCGCCCCCAGACTGTTTTTGTAATATGTTTGAATATTCCTCCCGAGGGGCATGCCCGACTTAAATCTGGCCGCGTGTGTATCCGGCTCTCGCCTAGACTGGCCGCGTCTTCGGCACGCCTGAACTGAGGGGCGCGATGCAGCAGGAGCTCGACCACGAGAAACCTCCCACAAGAAACCCAGCCCTAAGACCCCAGGACGTTCATGGATTTTTGGTGTGGGAGAGTCACGCCTTCCACAGCAAAATCATCGAAACCCGGGAAGCCCAGGGCACCTTGGAGGCAAGCAGGGTGTTTCGTGTGGCACGGGCCTTCCACTGAAAATGGGGGGGGGGACGACAGGTGCCCTCTTCGGGCCCTGGAGGCCCCCTTCTGGGCCCGAGGGGGCCCCTGCAGGGCTCCTGAAGGGCCCCCTTCTCAGCAGCCCTCGCTGCCCCCACACTCCTCGCCCCCCCCCCCTCCCCAGTTCGCGCCCCCCGAGCGCGTCGCGTGCGTCCATAGCTTCCACGCACGCTCTCGGGGGCCCCCGCGGACTCCCTGGGTCGGCGCCAGACCCCACCTCTGCACCTCTGGCGGCGCCTCGTGCGCCGCCCAGGGGGGCGCGCCCCGCGCGCCGGGGGGGCGGGCGTGGAGACGGGGGGCCCAGCGCCGGATCTGAAGGGGCCCTGGGACACACAAATAAATACACACAAATAAAAAGGTTCCCCATGTTTTCCCATCTTTTCTGGGTTTCTGTCTCCCCCCCCTTTCCATATTTTCAAATATTTTCTGGGGGATCGACGATTAATTGTGTCTGTGTGTTTTTTTCCCTCCTAAATATCGGAAAGACCCGCACGGACCTCCGAGAGTCCGTGTGGGGGAGACCGTTTTGCCCTCCGCGGGCCTTGGGCGAGTCGGTGCACCGCTCCGTACTCCCGAATGGTGTCGAGGCAGGCGCTGTCCCTGCTGAGCCTCGCGTGCACCGGGGCGCTGCCGAGGGAGCAGCACCAGCGCAGCTTGCTGAGGGACCAGCGGTTCGCCCAGTCCTCCAGCCCGACGTCGCAGTCGAAGGGTGCCGCCGCAGTCCTGGCGGGGGCGTTCGCCAGCGAGGCGGAGGGCCGGCTCGAACCCACCGAGCGTGCACGCACTGTGGTTGTCGTACCAGTGCGGGTTGTGGTCGTGGTGCTGCTTGGCCACGCCGAGAGGTCGGAGTCCAAGTCGAAGGGGAAGTCGAGGTCCGCCCCGCACTTGAGACTCTCGTGGAGGCAGCACCAGTCCTGGTGGAGCGTCGGCCACTCGGAGGAAGTGCTGTTCATTGACCTGCACTCCTCCAGGGACACGGGAAGGACCATGTCGCTCATGTCCATGTCCAGTGCTCGGCGGGGGCAACCTGGACCGTCTGGGAGGTGCCTGCAGCAGAACTTCCTGCGCGCAGGCGTCAGGAAGCTCTCTTCCCTCTGCAGCCCGTGGGCGCAGCTGTTCAGCACCTCCCTCCGGCCCTGACAGCCGATGCTCCTGTGCGTGCAGCACCACTCCTGGCGCCCTGCGCGCCACCCAGCGCAGGCGCCGTCTCCTGTGCCGTCCGCCGAGGCTGCGGTCGTGGTCGATGCCGGCGCCCGCTGGCAGGCGTCTGCGGCCGTGCAGCTCGCACACATGGGGCAGTGCTTCAGCACCAGCGCGTGCGCCTCGGTGCAGGCGCTCGCGCCCAAGCGCCCCGAGCGGTGGTGCTGCCCTGCCCACATGATCCAATCGCTGCACGGAGCGGCGATGCCCGTCTGCTCGCACTCGACTTGGCAGTCCGGCGAGCGGTGCCCGAGTGACCCGCCCCAGGTCGAAGCGGTCTCGGCGACTTTGACCGTGGTCGTGCTCGTCGACGTGGTCGCAGTGACCGTGATCGCTGTGACCATGGACGTCGCGACCGCGGTCGTCGGGCAGCCGACACCCTGGTGCTTGCAGCACCAGTTCGTCTTGTCGTCCGACCACACCTTCTTGGCGGCGGCCCACCTGTCCTCCCAAGTCTTGAGCCTGGCTGCGCAGCCGCTCAGCGACGGCTGCACGGGAGAGGTCGAAGCCGCTGCTGTCGAGGTCGTCGTCGGCTTGGTTGAGGTGGACGTCGTCACTACCGTCTCGCTCGAGCTGACCGTGCTCGCCGCGGTCAGGACTGCTGGGCCCGTAGAGGTGGTAACACTGGGTCTCTCGAGTCCTGGCCCGCAGCCGTCCCGCCCAGCCTCGCAGCAACGCCGCTGGGCGCCCTCCGGCCAAGAGACAGTCCTGTCCCAGTATGCGCAGCAACCTCTCTGCACCTTCGTGGTGTACTCGGCTGTGGAGGGGGAGCGAAAGCGGGGAACTGGCTGAGGGGCGGGGGGGGGACACGTCGATCTGGAATCGGCGGTGCACCGCCAAAGTGTGGATCGGCGATGGGCCCCCGATCGCTCGCGAGGCCATGTGTTCCCTGGGCAGGGTCGCATACCTTGGCCCCGATCGGAGATGAATGGGCGAACGAGTCGATGTTCCCCGCCCCCACCCTCCACCTGAGCCTGCCCCCCCTCTCGTTGCCCCCGAGCTGCGTCGTCCTGGTCCTGCCGGCCGCGCCGGGAGCCGCCGGGGCAGAACAGCTGGAGGGGGGCGCCGGCGAAGACCAGGTCGACGCCGTCGTCCTCGCGCGGGCCCGTGACGGCCACGTCCACACGGAACTCGGACGCGCCCCTGAAGAGGAGCGTCAGGGCGAGGTGTTGCTCATCTTGCGACAAGTTCGTGGGATCTCGCAGTGACAAATTCGTGGGGGACATGGCCCAGGTGGAGAACCCTGAGGTTCTGGCCCAGAGGCCCCCGTGGCTAATTCGCACGACCTTCAACAGGGAGTCGCTGCTCACGAAGTAGTCGTCAAATCCATGCACTTGCACCTGCAGCCTCCTGTCCACGAAAAAGAACGTTGCGAGGAAGTCCTCCGCGACCTCTGGTGCCGACGTGTTCGCGCCGACGAGCCGGAACACCAGGCTGGACCTCCCGCCGCACTTTTGACTGACGCTGCCGACCTCGCCACCCCGGCCGCTGTGGGTGTTCTCGCTCACATTGAAAGGTGTGTAGTCGCCCGCCTCTGCGGTGACGATCAGCAGGTCGAGCGGATCTCCTGCGGAAAACGTACCCCCCTGCCACCGGGCGAGCCGCCGCACGCCCCCCCCCGCGAGCCATATAACTCCGTGGACGCCCAACCACGCATGTCTGGCCCGCATGGCCTCTCTGGGCCTGCCAGACATCATACAGTCGGGGCGTTGACCTAAGGAACCCTAAATAAGGAACGAGGCCCCTTTTTCCCATAAGTTAAACTTCGATTTCCCATCGAAGCCCTCTGCAAAACCAAAGGCGAACTGCAAACAAACTAAGGAACACCGAGCCCCTCCCCAACGAGAAGGGTTCCTCCCTCAGCGCCCCGAGGCCGGGGCACTCCACGGGCGCCCCGGAATTCGAGGCTGCCACGAGAGCCAGGAGTCCACCGAGGCCCTGGCCCGCTCTGGGCCTGTGCAGCCCGAGTGGTGAACACATGAGCGTGGTGGATTCGGCGTTTCCACATCGGGCGGAAGGGGGGGAGAGGGGGGGGGTCTGGCTCTGGACTTCTGCTCACTGCGACCGTTTGCAGCAGTGCGTCTCATGCATGGGGGAGGGACTCCACCTGCTCGAAGCAGGCGCCAGAAACAACCAATACCTACTCCATGGGGGGGGAGGGCGGGGGGGGGCTGCGAGGTCCCGCGCCGATCGGCAAAATAATGAATTGCCTGATGTAGCCACGAACCCGACCTTGGAGGACAAGTGGGCGTGACTTGCGAGGAAGAGAAAAACAAAGAAGACGATGCCTATAGGGTGCATAATGCTGATTCCCGTGCTGTCCGTTTGACGCTGCGCCGCTGTAAGGCGCGCTTATGCTGGTTCCCGCGTTGGTCCGTTTCAACGCTGTGCCACTCTGCCTGGGCGCCTCCGACCATCTTGGAGCCCTGCCGGGCAGCCCTCAGGCCCTCCGACGACCATCTCGGGCCCGCGCCGATCAGCAACACAATGGATTAAAAACACGGCCTCAGCCTCGAACTCCACCTTCAGCCCTGTCCGAGGAGGAGGAGGAGGAGGAGGAGGAGGAGGAGGAGGAGGAGGAGGAGGAGGAGAAGAGGGGGAGGAGGGGGGAGGAGGGAGGAGGTGGAGGAGGAGGAGGAGGAGGAGGAGGAGGAGGAGGAGGAGGAGGAGGGAGGAGGAGGAAGGAGGAGGAGGAGGAGGTGGAGGAGGGAGGGGTGGAGGAGGAGGAGGAGGAGAGGAGGAGGAGGAGGAGGAGGAGGCGAGTGAGGGCGGCGGAGGCCAGGGGCTGATTCATGTCCCTGTACGTAGCGCCGCGGCACGCCGCTGCGCGGCGGCGCCTCGGCAGCCGCGCCGCGCGGCGGTGCCCGCCGCGCGGGGACGGCTCGGGCAAAAGGTCGAGGCACAGAGCCCTGCGGGGGCCGCCGCTGCTCCCGGCCGACTCCCGTGGCGCTTTTGGGCCTCGCCTTGGCTCCGCAGCGCTCCCCGCGTCCTCCGCCAATCCCCGCGCAACCTCCTCACTCCCTTCCTCTCCTCCTCCCTCCCTCCTCTCCTCCTCCCTCCTCCTCCTCCTCCTCCTCCTTCCTCCTTCCTCCTCTCCTCCTCCTCCTCCTCCTTTCCTCCTCCTACCCTCCTCCTCCTCCCTCTCCCTCACTCCCTCCTCCCTCCTCCCTCCTCCTCCCTCCTCCCTCCTCCCTCTCCCTCCTCCCTCCTCCTCATTCTGTCTCCCACCACGGTGTACCAGCATAATGCGGTACCCCAGTGGCAAGCCACATGGCAGCTCGAGAGCGGGCCGCCCGCATGGCCACACGCGCGCTCCTTCGTGGGCCCTCTGCTTCACTTAGATTTGCCCACGGCCGTTAATCGCACACTCGAGCGCTGGCATGGCCGATGGCGCGAGGCCAACTCCCCTAACCTACTCCACATCTACCCCCAATGTGCTGCGGGGGACGGTCCCTACGATGCCCGTTTCTCACCCACCATAGGGCTAGTTACAGTTTACGTGCCGAACCAACTTTTTCTGGTCCTACTTCAATCGGGGGCCTGGGAGCAGGCCTCCCTCAGCCCTCACCGGCTTTTGCAGGATGCAGCGGCTGGCAGCCCCATCCTTATAGACTTCCAGGCCATGATCATGGTTCGACCATTCTGCCTCCCGTTGTCCCACCTCGCTCGAATCCTCCGTCTCCCCGAACCCTAATCCCTCAGGCCATGCCGACCCCAGAGGCGCAGCACCTGCCGCAGTTCGAGCACGGCGACTTCCGCTGCGCCCCCACTGAAGCAGTGCCACCACCGCCTACAACAGTGCAGTGGCTGGTAGTAATAACGACAAGCCAAATTTCGCTTTGGTCCCCACTGCCCATCAATGTAGGGCTCCTAATGGAGCAATTCCATGGGCAGGAGACTAGGCTGCCATCCTCTGTGGAAAGGCCGCGCTTTTTTCACCTCCCCATTCTTCAGGAGATGGATGCACGGCCCATCCTATTTGGCACGGGCATACCCTACCGCACCGGCCTTTCGCTGCGGGTCAACATGCGTAGCGGTAACATCCTCATCCCTATAGACTCCGCACCAGGCCAGGCGTGCATCAGTCGGCCCGTCAGGAGGGTCCTCCTCACACAGATGCTAGCACAGGCCAGCTAGGTTTCACTCACATTTGGCCGCCGTTGGCTTATGGGCTACTTCTTTTTGTTTCCTTGGCACTCCCCCCCTTCTCTCAGCGCGCCCCACGCCGCCATGGTGCCCATGCCTCCCGCGGGTGGTTCCGCTGCGGCCGCGGCGGAGGCGGGCGCGGCCGAGGCCAGCAGGGCGTCGCCTGACACGCGGGAGCTCTTCGGCCTCTCAGGGGACACATATGCTGGTTCGGCTTGGCAGGGCTCCCAATACACGGCCGCCACGCGCGAGTTCAAAAAGTGGTGGCCCTCCACGTACCCGGGCGAGTGGAAGATGCCCAACGGCATGCTATACCCGTTCGTCTGGAAGCTCAAGTCGCTGGACGTCATCGACGGCCAGGTCGTCGAAACCTGGGACTGGGAGTGGATCGAGACCCCGGGCCTGGCGACCATCTCTGAGGTGGAGGCCATGCTGAGGAACCACTACAACCAGCAGCAGGCTGCCGCGCAAGAGGCCCAGGCGCGTGCGGCGGCGACAGCGGCAGGTCTCTCGGCGCTCTCGGCCGCCGCCCGCACTCTCAACCCGTCGCCCTTCAGTGCCTGAGCGAGCCACACTAATGACGCATCAGTCAGCGCCCTTCTAGGTCGTCCTAAGCGACCTCGGCGCAACTAGCAGCGTGCATACTTAGGTGGTGGGCTCGCCTAATACTTTCCTTTCCACATCCTTTCAGCGTCTTCTCTCCACCTTGGCAGCCCACCACCTAAACAGCTGGAGCCACGCCACTCCAACTCAAGGTCGGTCGAGCCGTCCTGCATAGCTGAGTTGTAGCCCACGCGAGTCTAGCAGCATCCAGCCCATCCCGTCATTGTGCGGCTCTGCAACCTCGGGCAGCCCCGCTAACAGTGAGGCGGCTAAGCGCCGCTCACATATTTCAAGTCGCAGACTCGCCACGGCTGAGTCCTCACGCATAGGTGGTGGGTTAGCACACTGCTCAGATCCTGGTTTGCCTGCAGCCCACCACCTATTCAGCCCAAGCCTTCTTCACTCGAGCCAAACTCTAACAAAGGAGACACAGCGTCTCCAATTTAAGGCCGGCCAAGCCGGCATACATTCAGCCGCAGTGAGTCCTTCGGGTGCACACTCTCACTGCAACTCTTGCGGCATCAGTCGACACCATCTCAGGCCTATATGGGATGGGCGCCCATGGCGCAACCGTCAATGCGCCACACAGGGGCGGAGCCGCCTAATACCTACCTCGGCAGCCCTCCTAGCGCTCTTTTCTCCACCGGCCCCTCTTTTAGAGGGCCCTGTCCAGGAATAGTCGCCATTCATGGGCGCGACTTCTCACTTTGCCGCACTAGTGCGGCCAGCGCAGCACATTTTAGCAGCCTCGCTAAACAGCGATCGGCTAAGCTCACACAGCAATTCGCAGACTCGCCACGGCTGAGTCTCTAGGGGGTGGGCTGGCCCAATACTCTTGGTTCGCCCTGGCAGCTCACTACCTAGACAGTCCTAGCCACAAGTGCCTCATGAGAGGACCGTGGCCTCTGCCCCGGCGCATCTCTTTGGCCCCCGTCCAGGTGTAGCAGGGTCCCCTTGGTCCCTGTGTGCCTGTGAGGGGCCACACGGAGGTGGGTCCCTGCTGTCTGGTCTCGGCTAGCGCCCAGGCATACCCACCTCCCCGCCGCGGTCGATCCGTACAGGCCTCTCAGCTGCAGCGCACGCCCTGCAACACGGCAATGCCATTCTGGCCCTTCTTCCTCCCCCGCCTCTTATGACTTCCCCCGCTCTTCCTCCAGTCCAGATCTCCTCCCCTGGAGGTTTGTACAGCCGCAATGCGGCCTGGCCATTTTGGCCCTCCGTCCAGCTCTTCCCTCTCAATAGCCGTCCGAAATTCGGAAGGCACTCCCAGGCAGGTCTCTTCTTTTTCCTGCCTCGCACTGCTCTCTGCATCGAGGGCTGCCCTACTATGGGCAACGAAGCAGGGTGCCGCTGATGTCTCTCTTCGCACGGCGCTGCAATATCCTCCTCTCTCGATATGATTCCTCTCCTCCCCTCCCTCAGCGCCAATACCTCTCTCCTGACAGTTTTCGGGACGAGAGCGGAAGCAGCTCAGCGTCCATGCTCTCGGGCTTCTCGTGTGCAGCCTGTGCCAGTCCTGTTGGCCGCTGCGCTCAAGCTAACTTGCAACGAGCTAAGTATAGTCAAAAAAGCCTCCTCCTCCTCCTCCTCCTCCTCCTCCTCCTCCTCCTCCTCCTCCATCCCCCCTCCTCCTCCTCCTCCTCCTCCTCCTGCTCCTCCTCTCCTCCCTCCTCCCTCCTCCCCCCTCCTCCCTCCTCCTCTCCTCCTCCTCCTCCTCCTCTCCTCCTCCTCCTCCCCTCCTCCGCCTCCTCCTCTCATTCCTCCTCTCCTCTTCCTCCTCCTCCTCCTTCCTCCTCCTCCTCCTCCTCCTCCTCCTCCTCGCTCCTCCTCCTCCTCC